GAAAACCGAGGATACTAAAAGGAACTCAACAATAGGAACAGTCGGAAGAGAGTAAGCTGCTTAAACCAGGAAAGTGTACGGGATAGAAGAAGCTAGTCCTAACGCGGGTATAAGGGCGAGATGAGGAAGACGAGCAGCCACACAACATCCCGCTTCATCTCGCCTCCTAGTCTCGCCTCATCTCGCCTCATCTCGCCTCACCTCGCTTCATCTCGCCTCACCTCGCTTCATCTCGCCTCACCTCGCCTCATCTCGCCCCACCTCGCCTCATCTCGCCTCACCTCGCCTCATCTCGCCTCACACGTCACACCTCGCCTCATCTCGCCTCACCTCGCCTCATCTCGCCTCACCTCGCCTCATCTCGCCTCACCTCGCTTCATCTCGCCTCACCTCGCTTCATCTCGCCTCACCTCGCGCCTCACGTGTCACGATCTCGCCCCTCACCTCGCCTCACACCTCGCCTCATCTCGCCTCACCTCGCCTCATCTCGCCCCATCTCGCCCATTTTTTTTCTTTTCTAGACCACTCCGAGACCGACCCAAGACCGACCCGAGACCGACCCGAGATCGACCCGAGATCGACCCGAGATCGACCCGAGATCGACCCGAGATCGACCCGAGATCGATCCGAGATCGACCCGAGATCGACCCGAGATCGGCACGAGCGATCAACCCAACAACGCCCCAAAGCCCCCTCTCTGGGGGACCCCCCCTCACCCCGAGTGTCCGTGTCCTTCGCGAGTCACCGATGGGGAGCGGGGGGGGGTGCGAGATGCACAGGGGAGGCTGGGGAGGGGGGGGTCCACTCTGAAGACTGCCGACCGCGGGGGGGTTTTGTCCCACAGGGTTTTACCCTCCGCGTGAGGATCGGCGCGGCGAGGGGGTAGGTTCGAATTCGCCGCGCAACATTTCACCCCCACAGGACCCCGCCCACCCCCCCTCATGGTCCCACCTAGTACCCCTATGAGCCTTCGCACCCCCTCCTTGCGCAGTGTCCCCCACTATGTGTCGCCGTCATCGGGGCACGCTATCCTGTGTAGTCAGGGCAAGTGGGGGCGAGGCGCAGTCCCTCTGGTCTATACTGGTGTGGTTCTGTCCCTAGTCTCGGAGGGGGGCTTGAAGCTAAGAATATTTTTTTTTCTGCGCGTCGTGCAGAGCGGCGCACTGGAGCACGTGCGAAAGGTGCAAGCGGCGCAAGCGCTGCCTGCCTTGCCTAGAATCCAATGCCGACCAGGTGTGGGATCTTCACTTTAGCGACCACGGCAGACTGTGCGAACGCTGCTCCGAGGAGATCGACGATGATCCTGACGATTGGTGATTCCTTCCTGACTCCTTCTCCTCTTGCGTTGCGTGCGCGCACAGGCAGAGTCGACGTAGTTTGTATTCCACCGACGGGTACGTGTATAGGACACATTGAGCACTTGAGCACTGGATAGGGTCGGTTCCGCATGGTACGGGACCCCTCGATCGTCTCGCCCTCCCTCACTGGTGTGTTCATTGGGGGGGGGCATAACAAACACGGTACAGGATCGAGGTGCACGCTGCCGAGGCAGTGTCGTCCCCCCTCTCCCCAGGACACATAAATAAATAAATAAAAACGGACACCTCTCTACTGGGAGACGTGGATGAGAAGACACCACCTTTTCGCTTTTCGCCCCGAGAAACGCCCCATCCACGTCTCCCAGCCAGACCGGGGGGGGGGGGGGGGGGGGTTCAAGTAAGGTACCCCGCTCTAGACTCTCCAGTCCCCTTCTTCGAGGTTCGCGAGCCCCCTCGACCTCTCGGGCTTGGCTCAGCGCCCAAACACGGGGTGCACACATTCAATCAGAGACCGGAGCGCCCTCCACGCACGGCGAGGCCGGGCGTGTGCACCGGCAGCTCCTCGGCGCGATAGTACGCGTGCCCGCCCCACGAGAAGACGTCCAGCCTATACGTTCACAGCTGCAAGTGTGAAGAGACGCTGTTCACAGCAGTCCATCACACCCAGAAGACGTCCAGCCTATACGTTCACAGCTGCAGGTGTGAAGAGACGCTGTTCACAGCAGTCCATCACACCCAGAAGACGTCCAGCCTATACGTTCACAGCTGCAAGCGTGAAGAGACGCTGTTCACAGCAGTCCATCACACCCAGAAAACGTCCGGCCTATACGGGGCACCAACGCCGGCCGCACTCAGAGCAGTCTCTCCTCGCGCCCAAGGCGCCTTCCCGCGGAGAAACGGCCGACGCCCGCGCCGCGCCGCACCCGCCGCCCGCTCGGCCGCCTGCGGCCCCGCCGCCGCCGCCTCGGCCGCCTTCTCGCGCGGCCAGCCCGCGGCGAGGCAGTGTCCCGCGCCCGCGGCGGCGGTGGCGATGGCGACGTGACGGAGCGCCTCCACGCGGCACGGCGCGCGCTGGTCGGGCGCGCAGCCGAGGCCAAGCTGCCTACTCGCACGCCGGGCGGGCGTGAGGGGGTGCTGCGGATCGCGCGCCGGTCTCCCGCCCCTGCAGCTTGAGCTCGGGGCGATGGACTGAGGAGCGCGACGGTGAGGAGGCCGCCGCCGCGGCAAGCATCTCCCCACATCTCCCCGCATCTCCCCAGATCTCCCCGCATCTCCCCTAAGGCGTGTGTGTGACGGCCGCGGCGCCCGAAGCTGTTTGCGCCGAAGGAGTAGAGGCTGCCGTCCTGCGCCACGACGAGCGAAAAGTCGCCGCCGCACGCAACGGCGCGCGGCGAGATGGCGGCCAGCGCCTCGACCCAAGCGGGGAGGACGCAGCAGCGGTGTCCGGTGGCAGACATGGCCGTGGCGTGGCCTGGCGGCTCTACTCCCAGCTGCCCCTGCCTCCCGTCGCCAAACGCGTACACACGGCCGCCCGCCGTCGTGGCGAGGGAGTGGGCTCCGCCCGCGGCGGCCATCGCGACAGCCTCGCCGAGCGGCACGGCCGATGGCGTCGGACGGTCCCTCTGGTCGCCGAGCCCGAGCCGTCCTGCCTCGCCGCACCCAAAGGCAAGCAGCCGACCGCCGCGCAGCACCGCCAGGCTGTGAGACCGCCCGCCTAGGGGACATACCTCGGCTGCACCTCGGCTGCACCTCGGCTGCACCTCGGCTGCACCTCGGCGGCACCTCGGCTGTACCTCGGCTGCACCTCGGCTGTACCTCGGCTGCACCTCGGCTGCACCTCGGCTGTACCTCGGCTGTACCTCGGCTGCACCTCGGCTGTATCTCGGCTGCACCTCGGCTGTACCTCGGCTGTACCTCGGCTGCACCTCGGCTATATCTCGGCTGCACCTCGGCTATATCTCGGCTATATCTCGGCTATATCTCGGCTGCACCTCGGCTGCACCTCGGCTGTACCTCGGCTGCACCTCGGCTGCACCTCGGCTGTACCTCGGCTGCACCTCGGCTATATCTCGGCTGCACCTCGGCTATATCTCGGCTATATCTCGGCTATATCTCGGCTATATCTCGCCCGCAGCGGACGCCACCTTCCCGCCGGCGAGGCCTCCCGCAAGCGCGACCCGCGCCGGTGTGAGCCGCCGCGCCGCGCCGGATCCGGCCGACGAGCCTATACGTTCACAGCTAGAGGTGTGAAGAGACGCTGTTCACAGCGCCGCGCCGGGTCCCGCCGACGAGCGGCTCGAGCCTACCTTAAGGTACGTGCTGAGTCCGCCACCCCTTGGGGCGGGGGGGGCGGCACGGTGCAGCGGTGTGTCTTCAGAGCACCGCGCGGAGGCGGCGGGGTGCAGTGTGGGGTCCGTGTGCTCTCTCGGGCGCTAGTTGAAAGACAACATGGTGCGTGTCCTCCTCTCCTTCTAGCGGCTCGCGCCGTCCGGCCGCCCGCCGCCCGCGTCTTCCCCGCGGCCGAGCTGGCCGTGCTCGTCGGCGCCGAAGGTGAAGAGGCCGCCTGTGGTGGGAGATATGGGGAGATATGGGGAGATATGGGGAGATGTGCTCGTCGGCGCCGAAGGTGAAGAGGCCGCCTGTGGTGGGAGATATGGGGAGATGTGGGGAGATATGGGGAGATGTGCTCGTCGGCGCCGAAGGTGAAGAGGCCGCCTGTGGTGGGAGATATGGGGAGATATGGGGAGATATGGGGAGATGTGCTCGTCGGCGCCGAAGGTGAAGAGGCCGCCTGTGGTTCGGAAGGAAGCAGCTTGAGCTCGGAGTGTCTAGGAAGTGTCTAGGAAGTGTCTAGGAGGTGTCTAGGACGTGTCTAGGAAGTGTCTAGGAGGTGTCTAGGAAGTGTCTAGGAAGTGGCTAGGAAACGTCTAGGAAGTGTCTAGGAAGTGTCTAGGAAGTGTCTAGGAAGTGTCTAGGAAGTGTCTAGGAAGTGTCTAGGAAGTGTCTAGGAAGTGTCTAGGAAGTGTCTAGGAAGTGTCTAGGAAGTGTCTAGGAAGTGTCTAGGAAGTGTCTAGGAAGTGTCTAGGAAGTGTCTAGGAAGTGTCTAGGAAGTGTCTAGGAAGCAGCTTGAGCTCGGAGCGATGGACTGAGGAGCGCGACGGTGAGGAGGCCGCCGCCGCGGCAAGCATCTCCCCACATCTCCCCACATCTCCCCGCATCTCCCCACATCTCCCCCAGATTTCCCCACATCTCCCCACATCTCCCCACATCTCCCCACATCTCCCCACATCTCCCCACATCTCCCCACATCTCCCCACATCTCCCCGCATCTCCCCGCATCTCCCCCAGATTTCCCCGCATCTCCCCGCATCTCCCCATATCTCGCGCCGTCGCGGCTCACAACCAGCGAGTGGTAGGCGCCCGCAGCGACCGACGCGGCGCGGACAGAGGCGAGGCCGTCGATGCGGCGCGGAGAGAGAACGTCGGAGGTGCCGCCGTGGCCGAGCGCGCCGCGCCGCCCTCCTCCAAAGGAGTAGACGGCCCCGGCGGCGGTGAGGGCTAGTGTGTGCTGCTCGCCGCACGCTACCGCATGCACGCAGGCGCCTGAGGAGAGATGGGGAGATGCGGGGAGATATGGGGAGATATGGGGAGATGCGACCGCGTGCACGCACGCGCCCTGGAGCGGCTTGACCGGCGTCGGTACCCAAATCTGGGGCTCGCCCCCTCCCTGCCCGAGCAGCCCGCTCGGCCGCTCCGCGCCGTCGACCTGCTCACGGCTGCAGGTGTGAAGAGGCGCCGCTCACGCCTCATGCCGACAGGCGCCCCGCGTCCTCGAGCAGGCCAGCGTGGTTAGGGTTAGGGTCAGGGTTAGGGTTAGGGTTAGGGCTAGGGTCAGGGTAAGGGTTAGGGCTAGGGTTAGGGTTAGGGTTAGGGTCAGGGTTAGGGCTCCTCGAGCAGGCCGGCGTGGTCGTCGCCGCACGTGAGCAGCTCCCCCTCCTAATTAATTAATTAGTTAATTAATTAATTAATTAGTTGGTCGTCGCCGCACGTGAGCAGCTCCCCCTCCTAATTAACTAAAACTAATTAATTAGTTAATATTAATTGGTCGTCGCCGCGCGTGAACAGCTCCCCCTCCTAATTAATTAATTAGTTAACTAATTAGTTAATTAATTGGTCGTCGCCGCACGTGAGCAGCTCCCCCTCCGGCGAGACAAAGCAGGAGAAGAAGGCGCCGCCGTCGAGGGCGCCGGAGCCGTCGCCCAGCGCCTCGAGAGCGAGGAGATGCTGCAGCCAGCTGCGCTCGCCCGGAGGGAGGTGGGCGGGCAGCGCCTCGCCGCGCTCCTCGGCGCGGAGCCGCAGCGCCAGCTCGACGGCGGGCGGAGGCGGCTGCTGCGGCGGCGGACCGCGGTGGAACGCGCGGCTCACGAGGCCGAGGTTGGCGAGCTCGTTTGGAGGGAGGGGTGACAGCACGAGGGCGAGCACGTCGAGAGGCAGATCGAGGAGCAGCCGGGGCGGTGCAGCCGCCGCCGGCGGAGCAGCCGCCGCCGGCGGAGCAGCCGCCGCCGGCGGAGCAGCCGCCTCAGCAGCCGCCGCCGGCGGTGCAGCCGCCGGCGGTGGTGCAGCATCCGGCGGTGGTGCAGCAGCCGCCGGCGGTGCAGCCGCCGGCGGAGCTGGCGGCGGTGGTGCAGCTGGCGGTTGCGACAGTGCCGCGGGCGGCGGCTGCGTGGGCGACGGCGTCGGCGAGGTTGGTGGCTCGCCGTTCTTCGCATTGGTGCGCCGAGGGCCAGGCGGCGGCGCGGTCTCGCCGCACCAGGTTGTGAGTGTCGCCGGAGCAGCGCCACGGCCACGCGGAGGCGGCAGCACATCAGAGCTGGCCGCTGCAGGCGCCGCAGGCACGTCGACACACAGCGTGCGCAGCTCTTCTACCATTTGGAGAGCCTCGGCGGCGTGAGCAGGCTCGAGCAGACCGCCAGCAGCGCATGTGCGAAATTCGCGCAAAGCATCGCGCAACGAGGCGAGAGCCGGGTTGATGGGGCTGTTAGCCATCATCAGACGCGAAAACTTTTTCTTTTTTTTGAGAGCGCTTTTTCTTTATTGCGTGAGCCTGTGTGTGTGCCAGTCCGCGCCAGTCTGCGCCCTTGTCGTGCCAGTGTGCTGTGAGAGAGGCTTGTATCTTAAGAATTCTTTATTGCAGGACGCCGGGTTTGTCTTGTATGTGCGTGTCGGGCCGGGGTGTGAGCGAGGGGCAGAAGGGGCGGGGGCGTGCGGGGCAGGAGCCCATCGTCAGGCGGCTTTTCGGGGTCCGGAGAATTCGAGGGGGGAACGAGGAGGGGGGATGGGCGGTCGGCGTCGGGGTAGAAGCAGCAGGGCGTACGGGGTAGCCGTCACTTTCCTGATCGAGCTCACCTACCCCTCGCGCTGCCTTGGATCGCTCCGCGTCCGTCTGCTGGTCGACGCCCTATGGCCCTTTGCAGCTATGCTCGTCATCGCCGGTCTCGTGTCGGGGTACGCCATTGCGTACAGCCGCTGGGGGGGAGGAAGAGGTTGGGCCAAGGACGCAAGAAAGGTAAGCCGGACGGTGGTGCTAACGAGCACCGTCCTTCTCTACCTGGTCCTCCCGGGCGCGACGCGCAACGTCTTTCGCGCTCGGCTCTGCGCCACCTTCGCCTACAACGACGCCCTGGACGAGAGCCAATCCTACCTCCTCGCCGACTTGCACATCCAGTGCAGCGCCTCCGACCCCGACTACCGCGGGCTCGACGCCTACTTCTGGTCGCTCTTTGTGTTGTGGCCGGTGTGCGTGCCAACTGGCTTGCTGGCGTTGCTCCTGGTGGCGTGCCGCAAGGAGATACGCACCGGCGGGCGCGCCAAGTTGGCCGACGCGTGCTCCTTCCTCTGGCTCGACTACAGTCAGAGCCTCTTCTTTTGGGAGATCGTCGACATGGTGCGCAAGCTCTTCCTCACCTCGCTCATCCTCTTCGTCGACACGAAGAACGGCTCTTCCAAGCTTCTCCGACTCGTTGTCGCCGCGATGACCTCCGCGCTGTTCGTGACCTGCCTCGCCGCCATCCGGCCCTTCAAGCGATCCTCGGACCTTTACCTTGCCTGCACCGCCAACCTGCTTCTCACGTGGTTCTTCATTGCGGGCATCGTGCTCAAGCTATGCGAGGAGGGGCGCTGGCCCCTGACGTCTACGTCCACCTCTTGCTACACCTTCGCGGGTATCACTAGCTCGTACAATGCCTCCGCCACAATCGTCGCCCTGACGGCTAGCATGCTGGTCGTCCTATTGCTGTTGGGCGTGGCGAGAGCGATCAACGGCGTCAAGGAGCCCGGGACCATCCGGCTGGTGTCAACCGGCCACGAGCCCTCACTCTCCCTCCCGGGTGGCTGCAGTTTCCACGCTTTCTTCTCGCACTCATGGAGCACCGGCCAGGACCAAACTCACGCAATCACGCGGCAGCTGCAGCTCTTCGTCCCCGGCGTGCGGGTATGGCTCGACGCAGACTACCTCGACGACCTCGCCTCTCTCGAGCAGTGCATCGCTCGCTCGGCGACCTTCCTCATCTTTCTCTCCCGTGGCTACTTCCGCTCCGTCAACTGCCGACGCGAGCTCGCCGCCGCCCTCGTCGAGAAGCGGCCCGTGATTGCGATGCGGGAGGGGGACAGCGGCAAGGGGGGCGCATCCGCCGCTGCGCTGCGAGAGGAGTGCGACCACTTTTGCGGCGCGGAGCACGTTGGGGCCGCCCAGGTGATATTTGACGAGCCTCCGGTGACTTGGGTCCGGATGCGCCACTTCCAGCTCGAGGCGTGTTTGCGCCGCTGCTGCTGCGATGCGGAGGGTGAAGAGAGGATTGCGTGAGGCGTGACGTGAGTGCTGTAGGCCCTCAAGCAGCTGACGCTCAGGCTCCTTCGAGCTCTGCCCTACTACGCTACGCGCCGGTCGCTGCTAGACAAAGGGCTCCGCGTCCCTGGCGAGGTTGGGCCATGCTCCTTCACCTCGCCCGTCACTCTCCTGACCAGCGAGGCGCGACTCCCGGCGCTGACAAGGGTCTGTGACCCCTCTAGCCCTTGAGATGTTGCGAATGGCTGCGACGTAGGCCAACCCTGGTGCGCATCAGTTGGCGTCGGAGGTAAAGGCGGCCGCCGAGCGAGTGGGGTCTTCACTCAGCGCGACTTTGGCGCAGCAAGGACATAGTGCAAGCATGTCTCGCAGCATGACTCGCCATGCTAGCGTGTCTGGGGTTGTACGGCTACAGAGCGCCGAGGCGGCTCTCGGTGGCGCGCCAACGGCGGAGGGGTGGTCCTCGCCCTCCGCGTCTCGGGGGGCGTCGAGGGTGACGCCGCGCCCGAGGCTGGCCGGCAGCGTGCTGCTCCTCTACCTCAACGAGGACACCTTTAGCGAGGAGGAGGACGAAAGCAGCCCCCTCACCTCCGTCATCTGCCGCGCACTCGACGCGCGGCCCGCCGGTCACCGACGAAGGTTGGAATGCGGTCCAGCTTTTCACACATGATGGCATGTACAGGCAAACATCCTCGTTGTGATGGCGCACGAGCAGGACGACACGCGTGGCGGGTGCCGGTTCAGCGCGCTGCTCGAGCACACGCCAAGCGCGGTGCAGCGGCCGCCGTACAGGCTCTATGACGCCGTCGCCGTGCCGCTCTACCGCGACCCGCTGTTGCGCCTCATCGGCATCAGGCGCATCATGCAGCAGATGCTCGCGGCAGGGGTGGGCACGCGCCGCAACACAGAGGGGTTCGGAGGGAGGTTTGGGGTCCTCAGAGTGCGGTTTGCTGGAGGGCCGCCAGCCTCGCGCGAGACGCCGAGCATCAGATAAGTTGAATTCTTGCGAACGGAATCTTTTTTCTTTTTTCGAAAAGCTTGATCCCCAATCTCTTCGGACGCGGACGGTACACGGGTTTATAAAGGCTGCCTGTATTACAGCCGCTGTATGCTGTATAGTGGTTATGGTCTGCCTGGTGACGTTGAGCATCATAAAATTCCGCTTTCGGAAGATGCGGCTTGCCCTCTATGCCCTAGGTTTGGTGGAGGACTCTGGGGGCTGGCCTTGATCCAGATCCTCTCCATGCCTATTGTCCCGAAATTGGAGGCTACATGGCGCGACACCCGCGAGAGACGGCACCACCCACCCCGCGGCATGGTAAGCCTTTTGCCAGCACGTCAGCATTCGTATCAGCACCTCCGGGCTCGGCCACACCCACACAGCCAAGCGCCGCCTCCCGCGCGCAAGACTCGCCGTCTCAGTCCACGTTGGTGGGGGGCGGCGGCGGCGGCGGCTGCGGCCAGTCGGCGAAGGCCTGCCGGAACGGCTCATAGTTGTCTGGGCCGTAGCCGGCATGGAAGATGCCAAAGGCGATCACGTCGAAGTCGGCGGCACGCGCCTCGATGGCGCGCCGGAAGGCGGCGGCGACCCGCTTGGCGGGGTTGCGGAAGGCGCCGCAGCCGAACGCAGACAGGACCGCGTGCCGCACCCCCGCCTCTGCGAGCGTGTCGAGCTGCGCCGTGATCCGCCGCTCTGTCTCGGCGGCGTCGAAGCGCGAGCCGTCCCGCAGGTCGATGGCAGCCGCTCGCAGCTCGTAGAACGGGAAGACCTCGTCGTCGGCGAGCCACGCGTAGCCGAGGTCGTCCTGCTCCATGTCCTCTGGCCCGCGCACGCAGACGCGGGGGGTCGCCGTGTCGAGCCTACGTTGCGAGATTGCAATCTCCCCAAGGAGCCGCGGGAGATGGGCAGGCGGGGAGCGCGAGTGCGGGAGGCGATCTCAGTGGAGATGTGCAGGTGTGATGTGCATGCATGGGAGTGCTCACACACCGGTGAGAGCGCGGACGCGGCGTCGCGGCAGTGTAGAGTGAGCATCGCACGAGTCGCGGGATTCGGACACAGCGAATACAGCCGCTTACAGCGGAATCGCTCCTCCGAGCTAGAGAGGGCCAGCTGGAGTGCATGGACGCGTGTTTCCGCTTCTGGTGCGTCGAGATCAGGGGAGATCAGGGGAGATCTGGGGAGATGTTCCGCTTCTAGGGGCTCGAGCATCACGCGACCGTCCGCCGCGTTGAGCAGCGCCGAGTGCGACGCCACGTAGAGGTCTCTGCCCGCCTGGTCAAGTCAGCCAGTCAGAGCTACACACCTCCTAGCATGGAGGACGGGCCACACGCACACACACACACACGCTGCACACGATTGGCTCGGGAGCCGACACGAGGCGCACTGTCACCCGGGTCCGGACTGCTGGACACACAGCACACAGCTCACAGGACAGCTCACGAGGTGTGGCGCTATGTAGTGGGGTCCCCCCCGCCGGATCGATGGACGAGGAAATTAATCCTTGACGCCAGCGCCGAGTGGATCGGCTGGATCTCAATCTCTGAGGCTGGATGGCTGTCTCTGAGGCTGGATGGCTGGGTCTCGCCTCCATCACCGCAGGGTCTAGCGAGAAGTGGCAGTCGGTGCGACGAAACATGTTCTCCTCCTGCGGCGGCCAAGTAGTAATTAATTAAGAAGGGCTCCAATCTAATGAAGGAGTGAACTCGTCTCCTCCTGCGCGGCCATCCCGTCCATGTAGCCGCCGCCCGGGCCGTACGCGTTCGCCATGTTGAGCACCGCGAAAGTCGTCCCGAACCTGCTCATCACCGAACCCGCAGGTCAAGAGGCGCCGCCGCAGGTCTAGAGCAGCGCGCAGCTGGAGCAGCAAACCGGCGAGACATCTCCAGCGCGACGGCGCCCCAGTCGCCGGGCAGCACCAGCACGCTACAGCCGCCCTCGCCTCCCACGCCCTCCCCTCCCTCGCCGCCCGCGCCCTCGGCCGCCGCCGCCGCCTTTGCTTGCGCCGCCCAGCGTGCGATGTTGGCTCTGGCGAGCGCGTGGTACCGGCGGGTCGGACTCGCCTCCTCGAGGGCAGCGAGCGTCTCGAGGAGGACCCGCTGCCGCACGCCGTACACGCCGCGCGCCAGCTGGTCCGGACTAGGCAGAGGACAGCCCCACTCGGCATGGTCGAGGCGCGGGTACGAGGCGGCCGGCGGCGCC